TGTGACTTAACATATATACTTTCAACCTTCTTCTTGTCTTCATACAAGGATTGATCGTGATAACTAACTACACAAGTAAATCGTTTGTTATCGTAATTTCTCTTAGGAAATATCTTTGAGAAACCTGAGATAATTGAGATAATGGATTATTTGGTTTGTTAGGTTAGCTTTGTTTCGGTACAGTTCCATGGCCAATACCGTATTCTTTGTAATATTGTATATTTACGTTTATACGATTTCTATAAAACAAACAAATTCTGTATTATTTTCAGTACAGAAACGAATTTTTGAAAGTTGGATAATACTTCATTAACTTATAACAAAAAATATGTGTGCGAAATAAGCTTTATAAGAAAACACGTGAAAAAAACTATCTTGATAAACAAATAAAAACAAAGCGGTTTTCTTTGTACTATTTCTTGTCATTATATCATTAAAAATGTCAGAAAAAGATCAAGGAAAACAAATTTCGCGAAACTATGCTGGATTGATTAGAGAATCGTTAATTCAAATTGGACAACTATTTTTCTTTCTTTTTTCTGAGGTTATAAAAACGAGAGATATAGAGTTCTACAAAAAATGTTTTAATCAGCTCAAATCATCGCTTAAAATCCAAATAGTCATGTCTTATATAATTTCTTGTTGTATTACTATTATGACAAATTTAGTTTTTGCCCAATCTCGAGCTAATTGTGATCTCATCCCAAAAGGTTAAGTCAGTCCCAACATGTAAATTTCCTAGAAACTTTAACGCAGAATATTTACCTGATCAATAATTTGGTACCAACTAAATATAAAAATTTAATTTAGCAAACCATTCTCACGGACTTTTTCAAAGAGTGACTTAATTGTACGTAATTTAGATTTTAATGTGAGACACAAAAGCTACTTTTGTCTCAAAATATATAGTCAACGATGAATGAAAGGCAAATTTAGATATTCACATATTATTATATACTTCAACTTAAAAATGATATATGTTCTATATTTATATTGCTGACACTCGCGAGAAAATAAAATTGGTACTATAACTATGTTGTGAAGAATGAGGGTTTAATTAATTAGATTGTTATTATAATTTATAATTTATATATATTTTTTTTATTTATCCTTGAGATCTATTCAAGTTTTTAACTCGATCATTTAATTCCTATAAACTAAATATTGTAATCAGCATTGTTAATTAAATACTGTGAAGCTACACTGTGTAATAAAAATCTTATTTTAACGCGATTGCAGAAATGTAATTTTTTAAAAAGTACGATTTGTTTTGAAATTGATAACGAAAGCGGTATTAACTTTGGTTGGTTTATTTAAAAAAATAAGAATAAAACTAAACACACTTTATTTGTTTTATAAACATCGTAAATACAAAATCAGTCCCTTTAATAATCGATAATTTCGTATATAAATTTTATTCAAATAAATTAGAAATTCTATAAAGAATTTTCGAGAGATTCATATATATATGTATAAAATTAGGCGATAAAGTCGCGATTATCAGATTATCAGATGATGAAATGAATATTTCATAATTTCTAAAACTTTAGTCGGCACTTGTATTGCCATCATTACAACGTAATCTACAATGAATAATAATCAAATTATTCACAAATTTCATTTGTCAGCAACATTGTTATTATCTAAATTGGAATCGGTGAATTAATAATCTTTTTGATGAAGTTTCATCAATTATGACTTTAAGTTCAAAAATGAGTCAATAGTTCTCAAGTTTGCCATACAAGTGCCAACGCCTTTTATATCTGAAATAATCCATGTATATATTTCCTAATAAATGAATCAGAATTAAGTGCTGTAAATATTCCTATATTTTTTTTCATTACAGAATTTAGTAATAATGTGGAGTGATATAGTTCTTTAAGCTGTTTCTTCCAAAAGATTCAATCATAATTTCAATTTATAAATACTATGAAATATATGGCATATTCTTCTGTTACAATCAGCCTATGTTTCAATGGTTAGATGTATGGAGAAATTATTATTAACGGCTAAGCTATGTGGATGATTTCATTATTGACGTTAATCATTACGCTAGTATAAAAAGTCTTTTCTGTCCAAAAATGTAGTTTTTCACATTGCTTTATTGATGAATAATGAGTAGTTAGTATCGATGTAGTAATAGCAAGCTGTATTCTCGTAATTGTCCGGTACAACAAAAACTACTCAAAGATTTCTACAAAAAAAAAAGACTTTTCTAGCGTTACTTCTCAAATTTATATTAAGATGTAAGCTATGATTTTTATAAAGTGAAAGCAACAGTTTACAATTACAATATGTAATATGTAAAGCAAAGATTAACGAGATTTGAGAACAAGTTCTTAATAATAATAGCACTAGATTGATTTTTTCGAACCTAAACGCTATTGAAAAAATCAATTTTGATGACAAGAAATAATTTTCTTACAGAATTAGAATCCTTCGAGTTTCTCATATTCCTTTGAAGTAAAAAAAATTATATTACAAACAGCACTTAGCTAATCAAAAACGTCTTATATCACTCGTTACATCGATAAGTCTGTATAATTGAAAATACCTTTGTTTGCTTCCTCAAATTTATTACCTAAAGTAATAATTAAGGCACAATCACGATGATATTGTAAGATTTATCATAGTAAATATAGCGCGTTTATTAATTGAAGTTATTGGTGAATTCACAAGTGAATTTACATATAAAGAGCTCTATACTTGAATAAAGTTCTTTTTGTTTTTCAGTCGTTTTTAATCACCATAACTTTAGCCGGATAATGTCAAATGCCAGTAAAACTTCTGAGTATGATCAAAAAATTTTTACTTAAATGTATCATATGTAAGATTTCTGTTATTAACAACTTTCAATAAAGAAAGGTCAACCCACCTAAGTTCACCCGGCAAGGACGTACATATATATAATTTTTTTTTTAATAAAGATCTTAAGATGTCTGCTGCGCCATGACGACCATGAAAAATTTTGGACTCTTCATTTGTGGCTTCGAAATTTTACAAATTAGAAGTTAATGATTTTCATGCAAGATTCTTTGAGTTTGACGCAGTATCAAACAAAAACTTACCAATATTGCCAAAGTATGAGTTGGATAAATATAAAAGTGTGTTAGAAAGACATAGAGGGGTGTTTTATGAAACAAGCTCTATTGCAAATTTTACTTGGAATTATAGTATATCGAAATATTGGTCATGATTCAAGCGAAGATTACAACATTACCATGACAAAACATAATCGGTAAACATACAATATCTGGTTTTGCTGCGGAATAAATACCACTAAGATTTAATATAATGGTAGTTTTGCAAATCAATTTTTCTATTCTTCTATTATCACACACGAATTTTATAATCATCAAAAAAGGGCATATTGAAGCATATCTGTGAAATGCAAATAAAAGATGAACTTTTTAAACTTTTTTTTTTCAAAATTGATAATCATGACGTATAAAAAATATCAATTACTTCACTTTCATGTTAAGCTATTTATTCTTTAGAGTTGAGTCATTTACTCCTGAAAGTCGTCTTGCTCATTATACTGTCATAGTTGGAATAAGCTGTATTTTTTTGGCGGAGCAATAAGTGATTCAACTTGCACAAATCAAGTATTTTATCTCGATTTATCTCAATCATTTAATATAACGGCTCCACCATGGGTTTCTCTTACGCAAAATGCTGGAATACCATTCAATAGTTGCTGGGGAACCGCTTTATTGAATGATAAGGAACAAAGTATTTATTTATTAAGTGGAATTATGGAAAATGGTACAAATCAAGATTCGTTTGTATCAAGCGTTCATTCATTTAATTTGAATTCCTTATCGTGGAACGTACCTAATATCGAAGGAACTCCACCTGAAAGACGAAGAAGTATGAAGAGTGTTGTTGACAATAACGGAAATATATATATATTTGGTGGATATGTTGATCGATTTTTAGGTTCAACAACAGAAAAATATTACAATGATATGGTCATCCTAAATACTTCTGAATTATCATGGGTAATCAACCCAGCTAATAAAACGTATGCACAACATAGTAATACTGCAACGCTATTATCTAATGGAGTTATTATATTTATCCGTGGTGTAGAAATACTTGAAGGCGCATTGGAATTGGCTAATATTAAAAGTATTAGTCTTTTTGATACAAAGACCTTAACTTGGTCAATCAAAGTATGTATAAATATTATTTTATATAACAAATAGAGTTTAAAACTTAAAATTTATATATTTTTAGCTGGCGAAATTTTCAAATATAATTGGAAATCGTTTTCGACATACGGCAATCTTAGGTATATGGGTTGATTGCTAGGAAAATCAGGTTCCGGGAATTTTTTAGCAAAATTGAGATTTTTATTGCATTTTAGTTTTTGATGTTATTAGATTAAAATGTATTAAGCTCTTAATTTTAGTCAAAAATTTCTCGGAACCTGATTTTCCTAGAAAAACTCCCATATAATTATAATTTATGATTTATTTTTAATATTTTAATCTATTTATTTATTTGTTCTTTAATAAAACAGTTCCAGATGACAAAATCATTATTTATGGGGGTGCACAATGTTTTAATGATGCTCAAGTTTCTCCAGATTTGTTTGTTTTAAATATGGAAAATGGTGAATTTGAATTCACGGTGCCATCAGTTAATTCATATGTTGGTCAGGTTCCATTTCTTACAACCCATACAGCTGATTTGGTTGAAAATTATATGATTGTAGCTTTTGGTAATGAAATCTTTCACTTAATGAAATAATTCAAAACATTATTAATTTATTTTAATGTATTACGATAGGAAATATTACACAACCAAATTCTGAACCATTGCTAATCAAGAATCCTAATATTTATATAATGGATATTAGAAATTATACATGGGTTAATTCATTTGAAGTAAAAAGTGCAAATGTAACGACAAATCCTGACCCATAAACAACACAATCATCAACAACTACTTCCATAGTCGTTGTTACAAATAATGCTAATAATGAATTGGTTACAATGAAGATTTTAATCGCATCAATTGGAGGAACTGTGAGAGCCGTTATAATTATGGCATTTGGATTTTTATTTTATAAATGGAATAAAAATAGGAATGAACAATCTCCCGAGCAACATATTTTACCTGAAAGTATTGTTGAAAATAGGCATGTCGCCTAATCAATTACTCCAATTTTAATATTTAAAAATTTGTAATAAATAAATGAATAAATAATTAACATTTTTTTCTTTTCTCATAATTATTATAATATTTAATTTTCACACCTCTGTCATCAATTAAATCAGGCTTAAGCAATCGATCTATATGTAAGATTACTATTATAATAATTATTCCCAGTAATCTGCTACGTAAATTTTGGATTCTTCATTTGCAGTGTTGGTATTGGACCTTGTCAAATTCCCAATAATGGACTATTGGACTTTGGACCTAAAGAAGATGTCCAGTCCAATTCCAATTCAAATGGACTATGATTATATAATTTTGGCCAAATTATAGTTTATATACTATAATTCTGGCCAAATTTATAATGCTAGCCTAACTTAAAAATTTGAAAGATTTTAAAATCATTCTACTTAAACAATCGATAATAAAATTATTCTAATAGTACAATAATAATTCGTTCAACTAAAACGATTCTACTGATCTGACCTTGATTTTTCAGGTGAAAGAGAGCTTGAAATTAATATTATAAACATTTTTAAATTTACCTCATCCTGCTAGAGATCCAAATTCTAAATGGAAAGATATTTATATTGGGAGTTTCATAATATACATTTTATTAATTATTACGATTATGAACATATTGCTAAATTATATATAAATTTATAGTTGTTGGATGAAGTCTATAGTTCAATAGTCCAAATTTTAATGGAATTGGAATGGACTAAGTCCATTAGTCCAATAGTCCATTAGTCCAAATGGTCAACACTGTTCATTTGTGATTTCGAAATTTTAAAAATTAGCAGCTAATAGCAAAAATATATCTTTGGACGGATAAAGTTCATAAATTGAGCAAATAATGGTTTTCTAGAAGATTAGAGTAGTATCAAAACAAAACTTACCCAATATAATTGAATAATTAAACATTATCCAAACCCAAACAATGTTAAGTGTTTATTGACATAAGACAATTTCAAATAATATAGATGTTAATGAGATCGTTGATTTATTTTGAATCTGGTTATGTTTGGGAAGAAACGGTATTATTGGGAAAGGTGTACGAGAACTTTGAGGGTGATCAGAACTAAAGTCGCGTGGTTTTTTTGAATCTTAAGCTTTTTTGATACTCATTTTCCTTTGGAACATTGATTCCAAAATACTTCTAAAATAGTTTATCACCTCTAGTTCTGACTCTCAAATACATATAACTACAAACCTTTTAAAAACGAATATATATCATTTTTTTTCTTTGCTATATTCGGCTTGATATCTTAAGCATCTGTTTACAAATTTTTCAATCTTTCCGCATAAATTAAAGAAATATCATATATTGAAAAATTTTATTGAGGTATTTGTAAAAGAAAAAATACATGTTTACCTTAATTTTTAAAAAATACTGTGGTAATATAGTAATTTATTCACATATATGTTAAATTTTTTAAATAAAAATTAATTTTAACCGAAGATTGAATGTAATATCAATGAATTAAAATATGCATTTGTTGCTTTGCCCAAATCTTTGAAGTCTAAAATCATTAATATGTTATTAATTAATCATTTTAGCCTTATCTTGATTTACTTTATTAGAATCATTTTTTACATAATCTAAAATATTGAATAGAGTAGAGTTCGCTAGCTCCATGTGATAATTCGACAAATGATCGACATGGTTGATATAAGCATGTCCACTACCTTTCTTGCTAAAAGAACAGAATTGACAAATTAATCTTTGTCATGTTTGAGAAATTTTGAAATCATTGCATGACCTTTTTAGGGACAGATCGGTCAGCTCCGCTCCGGACCAAAACACTGTCTTTCTCTATTTGGATCGGACACGTCCATAAGTCAGATCTATGACCGGCCCGAGTCGTTCTATTCAAAAATTAAATTTTCTTTATCGCTATCGCAGCACAAAATTATAACACGAGATATTTTTATTTTACACGATTCAAGAGTTATTCAGTCAATTAGACGCGTTAGTAAAGTATAAATAGGTTATAGAAAAAAGAATAAACCAAATTAATTAATGAACGAAAAGCCTGTTAACGTATTCGCATGCATTTGATTTCAATTAAAAATGATGAGTCGAACCTTATTTTTCGAAAATTTTTACATCTTCAACTAACTAAATATATAGAATTTGTTCTTACGTCGTCCATGTATATACATTATCATATTGACAAGAAAAAATATCAGCCCGACAATTAAATTTCCTATGAAAAAAGTAAAATAATAATTTTGAAATTGGTGAAACACTTAAACAAAAATATTAGCACTTTTATCATTTTCATTTACAGTTAACAATTGAAGATTCATTACCAATAAATTCTGAAATATTAAGCATTGCTTCAATGAGAATAAGCCAAAATTAAAATTTCATGGCATTTGTTTTACATAAAATATGTTAAATTTAGTGTAGTAAAATGGTCGGCCCTTGGTTAACTAATTGCAGCAAATGCTGCATTTCAAAATAAATATTTATTAAAAATTTTTTTTTTTCTTATTCATGAGATTCCAAGTTTTATTACAATCATGATTTAACCGTACAAGGAATTTTGTTTAAAGTGAGGTATAAAATTTTCGATTTTTGGTTACACAAACCAATAATTTTAGAAAAGGCGACATTATTATATGGGGGCTAAGCTATTAAAATCACCTTACGGGACCCCACCAACTAAAGTTGATATTTTTGATTCATATTATTATATGATATATGAACTTTATTTGGAATTTTTATAGTCGATTATCTTATTAACAAAGCAAGCAATTAGGTCCGTCAAAATTTCTCATTTCTTTGTGTAACAT